GAGTGGGTGGGGTGGGATTCCTCATCTACAGTCCTGGGTGCCCCGCAGGGAACCCAGGTGGATGGTTTTGATAAGACTGTCCCCGTCTGTGCCCGTGGACAGGCACCTGGCTCATAGAGCCTTGTTCCTGAGCCTTAAGCTGTGGGTGAGTCCTGTCCATTCTAGGGGGCTGAGACTGAATGGGGGTCAGCAGCTGTTTGTCCTAATGCTCCTTGGAACACGCTGGTTCTTCCTGTAACAAAGGATTTTGATCCCCCACAAGGGCCCTTGATGGGGCGGCAGAGGGGGGTGGCAAACAGAGAGGGTCCTGGCCCCAGGTGATGATGGCTCTCCTCTGTCCTCTTTGGGGTCCTCTTAGACCGCCTTCCCTCCCCTCCAGGACAGGTTTGGCCTAGAAGCAGGACAGGGTTGGCCTAGAAGCAGGCTGTGGGGTTCTTCTGGGCTGTGCGCTGTGATCCCCGCAGATGAGGGGCCTGGGGGCTCCACAGCCACATCCTCCTACAGGGCTTCCCAAGGGCGCCGGGAGGACATACAAGTGTGGAGGGACTGTGGGACAGAGGGGCAGCATCTTCCCTGTGGCCTGTCTCCCTGCGTCCCATGTCTCCCCTGAGGCCCCTGTCTCCCCGTGGCCTGTGTCTCCCTGAGGCCCGTCTGTCCGCAGCCCCTGTCTCCCCGCGGCCCGTCTCCCTGAGGCCCCTGTCTCCCCACAGCCCATGTCTCCCCCTTGGCCTGTGTTCACTTGCTTGCACCCACTCCAGCTAGCCTGCTCCAGGCCGGGGCCTCTCCACTCCAGGCCAGAACTGTCTTCCACGCGCCGGCCTCTGCCCCCTCTGCAGGAACCAGGGCCCCCTCTGGCGCTGCAGCTGAGGCCAGGCTGGCTGCTTTCCTTCAGCTCGTGACCAGGGCACCTGATCGCTCGTGCTGACTTGGGTCAGGCTTCGCCCTGTTATCAGACACTTGAGGTGCTTTTTAGGAACCTTCCCGAAGTCATGACCTGTCATTTTGTGCTGAAAACAAGAGTGAGACTTTGATTTTTGAGAAATTAAATTTTCTCTGTGCTATATTTGTACACATTTGTCCCTGAGTGGTACAAATGCTTAACGCTTTGGCTGCTAACCAAAAGATCAGAGTCCCCCCAGAGGTACCTTGGAAGAAAGGCCCAGCAATCTACTTCTGAAAAACCAGCCATTGAAAATCCCACGGGGCACAGTTCTACTCTGGCCCACACCGGGAGCACCATGAGTCAGAGCTGATCGTAAAAATAATAAAAACTCAAAGAAATTGAAACAAAATTCTGAGCAGTTATTCTATGTATAGGGAGACCATTTTGAGTCCAGAAAAAGCAAATGATTCCAAGTAGGCTGGTTACACTGGGTCTTATAAAGGTAGAGAAGGGGGAGAAACGTATCAGCCACTGACTCGTCTTCACATGACTGACAAGCCCTGTGCTCCTCCTTGTACTGAGATCAGCTGATGTCCCATCACAGGGGGTTTCTGGCCTCCCCACCCACCTGCAGCCGGGATACCTTTTGAAACTTAAGGAAATCTGGCTTCCAACAGGAAAGAAAAGATTAGTAACTTTGAGGGAAACAAAGCCGCTGGCAGGATTAATTTTGAGCCAGGAATTTTTTTTATGACCAGTATTTGTTTTTGTGGGTAAGAAAAACCTTCAAGTAAAAACCTGTTACCATCGAGTCGATTCCGACTCACAGCGACCCTATAGGAGAAAGCAAGACTGCCCCATAGGGTTTCCAAGGAGCAGCTCGTGGATTTGAACTGCTGACCTTTGGGTTAGCAGCCAAACGTTTAACCGCTGCACCACGAGGGCCCCCACAGGTCAAGATGTCTGTTAATCTTTCTCTTTGACACGACTGCACGGCAGCTGGCTGTTCGTCGTGTTTTTTTTTTTGCAGAGGATGGGGGAACCAAGGTTCTGTTCTGCGTGGTCCTCAGCAGGTCTGCCCTGCTGTCCCGTCTCAGACACTGCTTTCACTCGCGGACCCCAAACTACACATCTGGGGCCAGTCAGCAACCTAGCACACTCCCCCAGCCAGTGGCTCCCTGCAGCTCGGACCCTGTCTGTACCCCAGGGCCCCAGCAGTCCGTCCCTTCCAGAGTCAGGCCTGCATCTGCCCCTCAGCCCCGGCTCTCCCCGTCCCCGCTCCACCCCGTTCCCAGAGGCAGCCCCTCAGTAGTTGGCAAATGTAAGCCCTCAGGGAGCCCCAGTTCTGGCTGCCCAGGCTGGGTGCCCTTCCAGGGCCTGAGGTTTGAGCCCACTGGTAATGGCACCCAGCCTCCCTGCCAGCCACGTCAGGTTAAACAGGCCAGATCCCGGACGCAGCTCAAAGTTCATTTCTTGTGAACATAAATAGAAGGCGCCTCGGACTCGGAAACCTTGACAGAAACAGATTCCATTATAACCTCAGCAGAAAGGTGGGGGGGGGGGGATGCTGTGAAACCATTTGTTTTCTGTTACTGAAAGTTTTTACAACTTTATTTTGATAGAATTTCAAATTTACTAAAAAGTTTAAAGTTCAAGGAACTCCCACAAGTCCTTTCTTCAGCTTCACCAGCCTGTACCGTTTGCTGCACTTGTTTTACGCATCCTGTCGGTGTCTGTGTAAGGAGCCCTGGTGGCGCAGTGGTTCAGGGCTCGCAGCTCTGAATCCCCCAGGTGCTCCGCGGGAGAAAGATGTGGCAGTCTGCTTCTGTAAAGATGAGAGGCTTGGAAACCCTAGGGGGCAGTCCTACTCTGTCCTGTAGGGTCACTATGAGTCAGAATCGACTGGATGGCAACGGGTCGTCTTAATGGAAGCAGATCACCAGCCCTTTCCTCCGCGGATCTGCTGCGTAGCAGCCAGTTATAAACCCCTTGGGCCACCCAGGGGTGCAGACCTGTTATTTTCTAGACTGCCCCTCAGTGTGGGGTTTGCCTTCCTCATGATGAGATTCAGGCGATGCGTTTTGGGGTGACAGTACCGCCAAGGTGGTGTAGGTGGCATGTGGTGTCTGTCTAGCTGGTGATGTCAGCTTTGCTCACCTGGGTAAGGTGGTGTCTGCCAGGCTTCTCCAGGAAGAAGGGAACTGTTTTTGCCTTTGTAATTAATAAGTAATTTGTGGGAGGTACTTTCAAACTATGTAAAATTCCTGTTCTTCATCAAACTCTCACCCACTGGTTTTCGTCTTTATTGAGCATTTCCTTGCTCCATCAGTCTTTCCGTCTTTCTATGCTGTTAGCTGGCCTTCTACTGTAAGGAAGAGCTTCCCCTTCTCGTGTGTTTCTTTCTTTCTTCTGTCTGCCTGTAGTTACCAGTTGCCATTGAGTCGATTCCGACTCATGGCGACCCCATGTGTGCAGAATAGAACTGCTCCACAGGGTTTTCAAGGCTGTGACCTTTGGAAGCGGATTGCCAGGCCTTTCTTCCAAGGCACCTCTAGGTGGGTTGGAACTACCAACCTGGTAGTCAAGCACTTAACCATTTGTGCCACCCAGAGACCTCCAATTATATAAAATAATATACACGCGCACACCTGGGTTCATATATATTTACAGGAATCCCTGGGTGGTACACGTGGTTAATGTGCTCGGCTACTAACCAAAAGGTCTGAAGTTCAAGTCCACCCAGAGGTGCCTCGGAAGAAAGCCCTGGTGATCTCTTTCTGAAAAGTCAGCCATTGAGAACCCTTTGGAGCACAGTTCTTCTCTGACACACATGGGGAAGCCTTGAGTTGGGGTCAACTCGACAGGAACCAGTTTGGTTGTCTTTATATATTTATGTCAGTGTGGGCTCATGGGTCGGGGGCTTCTGTCTCATTCACTGGGTTACACCCCATTATTCTCATGATTTATTTTGATGGTCAGATCGCTCCAGATTTAGCCAGGGGAAGCCTCTCAAGTGGCCCCTTGTTTCCGTGAGATGCATCCTTGGACTTCTTGGAGCTCTTCCTTCCTTCTAGCACAGGAGGGCGCTACAGGCTCATCCTGCGTTCCAGTGAGCCCTGGACACCTTTTTTTCCTTAACTGTGGTAATAATGCGTGTAACAAAACGTTGCTGATTGAACGTTTTCTACATGTACAGTCCAGTGCCGTTGGTTACGTCCGTCATGGGCCACCGTCACCGCTGTCCCCCGTTTGTCATCAGCAGAGGCACTAGTGCAGGCCTTTCCACGGCGGCGTGTTCATACACCAGCCGGGGGTACTGATGCCATATGGGAATTCTGTTCACGTGTTCTTAGGGGAGAAGACCTGGGGACATCTCGGTAATGGCTTGGCTTTTCATGAATCTTGAAGAGTCGTGTAATTGTTATTAGCTGCTGGTGAGTCTGCTCCAACTCACGGCGGCCCCACGTGTTCAGAGTAGACCTGCTCCATAGGGTTTTCAAGGCTGTGACCTTTTGGGAGCAGATGGCCAGGCCTGTCCTCCAAGGAGCCTCTGGGAGGGTTTGAAATGCCACCTTTCTGCTAGTGGCCGAGCGCTTAACCGTTCACGCCACGCAGGGACTCCTTCTCTTACAAAGACAGCGTACATTCTCCGTGTGGTAATTTAAACCAAGTCGGAGGTTCAGCACCAGAGTAGCTGTACTCCATAAGCACTAGTCCGTGTGCTGGAAAGTCTCATTCTTGCCATAACCCTATAAACCGCGGCGTGGGGCCCCTTGTTGACACGAGGAAGCCGAGGCTCAGAGTCCCACAGCTGGTGGACCATTTGGTGTGCTGTGCCTCCAAAGCTTGTGGTTTCTGGCACACTGTGTTACAATGTAGCACATCTCCTCACTCCAGATGGTAGCGTCTGCACAGGTAACAGCGGAGCAGCACAAGACTGACTTCTGGTTTAAGGTCTCTGTCTACGTGAAAGTCAAGTCTGAGGACTTGAGTGTGTGGCTCGTCTCGTTGTCTCCCCCGGAGGAAATTCTGTGTTTTTATCAGAGAATGACTTGGCTGTTCTCTTGTTTCTGTAAATGCCCCGAAACTCCCTAACCCTTTTATTTTTTTCCTATAGGAATTTGCTTGCTAGAAAACAAAATGCAAGACTTGACAAACAAAATGACTTGGGATGGAAGTTATTTGGAAAAGTACTGCTCCGAGAGAATGCTCAGAAAGATTCAAAGAAAGTGCAAAAGGTATACAAGCCGTGGGGACCCAGAGAGCGGCCGCTGTGCGTGCAGTGTGCGCCGACGACCTGCGCGGAAGTGGCCGTCCCACGCCTCTGAAGTCATACACTCTGCTCCAGTGCATGCCGAGTTCCTGACTGGAGTCTGTTCGGGATGCGGGTGGCCTGGTCGGAACTTCCTCATTTCTGATAGTTTGTAACAGGTACACGGGGAGGTTCAGCTGACAGATTGGCTTTATCTTGATTTAATTAATCGGGCTTTTCCGTCGTAGTTGCAAATGTGTCGATAGTTAAGTCTTTCTTAATTTTGTTTGATGTGAAGCATTCTCCCACTCCGTACCCACAGGTACACAGGGACGTAACCCTTCTAGTTCTGCCTTGGGGGAGGGTAAGGCCAGGCCCTCAGTTTGCAGAGGCTCCACTGTGGGCCCCCCGAAGCTGCCCACTCGTCTGTGGGTGGGGGCCCTGCCCGCGGTGCCTTGCACTGGGCAGCCCAGCTCTGGGGTGGCCAGGAGGACAGCACCTGCGGTAGGTGCTCCCCTCTGGTGGCGGGGGGCTCCTGCACGGACCCAGCGAGGCCAGGTGTGTCCCTGCCTGCGTGGCGGCCCTGCCCGTTGTCGTCTGCAGCCCTGGCCCCCAGCCTCCTCTGCCTGGCTCGCACAGCCTGCTCTTGGCCCAGTGCTGGCCGCCACCCCCGCAGCCTCACCCTCTCCAGCCACAGCTTGTACCCACAATGGCTTGTTCAGTAAACACTCTGAGGTGTGGGGCGTGTGCTTGGCTGGGGTTAGAGCGACCCAGCAGCTGCTCAGGGGCGCCCCCTCGTGGGGAAACACTGCCAGGAGCTGAGTCCCGTGCAGGTGGCATCTGAGACTTCTGAACAGAGGACCAGTGCGGGGTGGGAGAGGTGCTGGTCACGGGGGTCAGCACTGACAGTCACCGGGGCCTGGTGTGGAGTCCCCGGGGGGCACAAGTGGTTAAGCATTTGACTGTTAGCCGAAAGGTTCGAGGTTTGAACCACCCAGAGGCACCTTGGAAGAAAGGCCTGGCAATCTGCTTCCGAAAGGTCACAGCCTTGAAAACCCTGTGTGGCAGTTCCACTCTGCACACATGGGGTCGCCATGGGCTGGAATGGGCCCAAGGGCAACTAACAGTAACAGTTTTATGTGAGTCAGTACTTGTATTTCTAGCTCATTTAAAACTCAACAGCCACAGAGGAAGACACTATTCCTGATGCTCATTTTATAAGGGAGCGCAGAGGCCAGTGATGTCCACAGGGTCACACAGCTGCCTCATGGCAGAGCTGGAGTCCAGCCCCAGGGGAACGGCACATGCCCTGGGTAGGGTGCGGGTGAGCCAGGCTAGCAAGGGGAGGCTGGGAGGGGAGGCCAGGAGGGAGGGCTGGAGAGGAGGCTCGGAGGGGAGACAGGGAGGAGAGGCCAGGAGGGGAGACAGGGAGAGCATGGTACTGCGGCTTGGCCAGGGAGCAGGGAGAGGGCTGCTCATGAGCCTGTGTGTTACGCTTGGGCCTGCCTTCCCCTGGGGGCCCCTGAGGGTTCCTGGAAGGAGCCATGAGCTCACCCTGGCAACAAGGCAGCTCTCGGTCTGGTCCAGGTGTGGCCTGACCCGGGCTGCAGTGGTGTGGTGCTGCAGAGGGGCCACCATGGGCATAAATAGTGGAGCTGATGCACCTGCCAGAGGTCCAGGTGTGGTGGGCGTCAGCTCAGACACGCGGTGAACTTCACAGGCTTCACGCTTTGTGCCTGGGCAAATCCAGTGTGCTGTGAATGTCGTGATTGGACCCAGGAGTCGTGAAGTTTGAATTTGAATCACTTCTTGTGTGGGCTTATTAAAATAGCATACCACTGAAGTCTGAGTTCATATGTGAAGCTCAGCTATAAACTTCTTAGAGAGTTAAGTAGCCAAGCTGTTATGAATTCGTAAGAGAAATGCCCACTTCCCAAAAAGGGACCAATCGCACTGCGTGGACTTTCTCCAGGTTCCTCACCTGCGTGCGTGTAATTCCTTCCAGCTCTCTTGTTAGCGCCCTGCTGTCTCTCAGGTGAGCTGGGAGTGGCTTCTTGAACTTGGAGGATTTTGTTGTGGACCGAGATGACCAGGGCAGCTACTCATGGGGTAACACGATCTCGTGGTGGCGAGGCCACCTGGCTCCCGTCATCAATAATGAAAGAACACAGTTGTTCCTGCGAGTCACACGATCCTGCCTGGGACCTGCTGGTTCACGCTGTGTCTCCGGCCGCTCCTCCGTGCCCCATCGGAGTTGGGAGGGGCGGAGGGAGTCAGGGTCAGGGGCTGGCTATTGTCGGGGCTCCCGGGCACCAGGTGTGCTGGCTGCTGTCACAGATGTCAGCTCGTGCAGCCCCTGATTTAAAGGGGCACGTGCTGGGCCTCGAGTGTCCAGACCTGTGACCCAGTGTGGGGAGAATAACTCCAGTTCCTTTCCTGTGTCCCTGTGGAATGTGTGCCGTGGAGGAGCAGCAGTGTGGCACGTGATGGAGAACGTGGCCTTTGCAGGAGGAACACGGCCTGGCCTGTCTCCCAGCTCTGCCAGAGTTTGGCTGTGTGACTCTGGGCAAGTTACTTGACTTTTCTGAGCCCCATTTTTCTCCTCTCTGAAATTTGGAGAATAATAGCACCTTCCTCCAAGGTGAAATGGTTGTGCATATGCGGTGTGCTGAGAATCGCCTCGAAGGCAGGAAGTTCTGTAGGAGGTTTGCTGTCACTGTTGTTGCTCACACACGATACAAGGCTGGGCTGAGCCCTCCATTCTCCATAGGGCCCAGGCGGGGCCAGGCTGTGCTGTGTGCTGGGCGTTGGGAGCAGACAGCGGAGCCGTGCCCGAGGAGCTCACGGGGAGCCGGAGGCGGCACGCACGCGGGCTCGGCGCTCCGCAGTGCAGGCCTGGGTTTGCTTTCTGGCTTCACCTCTCACAATGGCTGCGTGCCAGTGACTTCTCCTTTTCCCTCACCTGCGACACAGGTCGTGAGGCCTACCCGAGGGGTTGCTGTGCATAAGAGATTGTGGGTGCAGTCAGTACCCAGAGTTGGTGCCCATGGTGGCACAGCAGGTGTACTCGGAGGCGCGTCTGACTCCACTCTGACGGGCCACGTTCTCTTGGCATTAAATCCACACGGCTTCCATCCTTTGGGGAGCCCTGGTGGCACAGTGGTTAAGCGCTCAGCTGCTAACTGAAAGGTCAGTGATTTGAACCCACCAGCCGCTTCGCTGGACAGAAGATGTGGCAGTCTGCTTCCATTAAGATTACAGCCTTGGAAATGCTATGGGGCATTTCTGTTCTGTCCTATAGGGTCGCAGTGAGTCAGGATTGACTCAATGGCAATGGGTAACCATTCTTTGGGAGATGTTGAAATGGTCTTTTCAGTTATCTTTTCAAATGTCATAAAAATGTTGAAATATTAAATCATATTTTCTTCTGCTTACATTCGGATTTCAGGGAGATTTTCATTATGGGGCAGAATGACCGAGGAGAGAATCACACTGAGACAGTGGTTCTCAGTGTGGACCCCAGGCCAGAAGCACGGTCATCACCTGGGCGTGCGTTAGACGTACAAGCCCACCGGTGGACTGGAGAAGCACCACACAAGCAGGCGTCCACGGCCCTGTCACTTGTCCCTGAGGTTTGAGCCACCAGCTGTGTCCACCGTGGGATTACAGTGAAGGGCAAGGCTCCTTGGAGCTTATCGTGGACCGGGAGGGGCAGGTCTGGACAGACAGCTTCACAGGCAGTCACGGCAGCGGTGACGTGGTGAAGTACAGAGCGCAGTGACTGTGAGGGGGTTCGCACCACGGACACATTTCTCCAAAACCAGGTGCTCAGGGTCGCCAGGGACTGGCGCCAGTCTGGAGGTTGAGGCTCAGCCCTTGCCCCACTGGGCCGGTCAGCAGCCTTTGACCCGGATGTCTCTCCCTGCCCCTGGGCAGGCCTTCCCGGCCGCCACACTCTTCATTTTCTCTGCTGGTCGTCAGGCACTTCTCTGCCACAGCCACTCTCTAGGGGGACCTCAGCCAGGCTACACCAATAGTCCCCTCTTTCTCCAGCCAGGACCCCACCGCTGAGCTCCACGCTGGGGTTTCCAGTTGCCCCTCGCAGATCCACAGGGTGTCTGGTGGGCATTCCCGTCCAGTACGTCTAGAGGGAAACGCTTGATTCCGTCTTTGGAATTGTCCCTGACTTCCCTGTCTCGCGTCCCACGTCCAGGCTGACGGACGTGTTTGCGTTTTAGTTCTGCGGGTGGATCTGATGTGCAGTGCGGTCTGGGAAGCAGGGACCTGCTGGCACAGTCTGAAGTGAAGTCGTGTGGATGAACCCCATTGAAGAGTTATGGCTGTGGCTTACTGAGCCCTCGGGAGCTCCAGGATCAGGCACTGGGGAGTAGAAATTTTTATATAAGCCCACAACACTTATCTTCCAGTTACATTAATTTGTAGAGGGTGGGTAAGGTATTAACAGATGAAGAAAAAGAAGCATCTGGGGCCTTACCAATCCCAAATAACCACGATCTGCATTTCGGTATTTTTCATTCAGTAGTTTTTCTGTGTATAACTTTTCTTTCTTTTAAGAAAAAGCCATTTAAAAAGTAAAAGTGAAACTTGTAATTTGAGCGCATGTCAGAGGGTCTCAGGGTCAAAAATGTGGGGATGCTTTTGAACAGAGTTTGTGAATCTTTCAGACAAAACAGCGCGTACCTAGACGAGAAGAACAACAGTCTTGTCGCCAACAAGGCTGAGCAGACAGTGTATGTCCTGGTGGGCCAGGCAGCTGCTGACTGAGGCTGTCTCCCTGGGCAGAGGCTCACGAGTTCCCAGTGTCCTGGATACACCCATCACGTGAGCACAGATGAGTGCACACCCGTTGTGTTTGGGGCCGTGTAACTTGGATTGTCTTGGATGGCCTTCTCGAATTTCTGGTCAGCTCTTAGAGCTTAAAGAGAGAATCCCAGAAGAAAGCAAATTCAGTACAGCTGAGAGTGA